CAATACGAATCGATCGACCAGAGAGGAGAGATCCAATCGTAAATTTCACTGTCTCGTTCAGTCTCGATAATAATCAGAGACCGATAGAGACTATTAACAACCAAATGGTGAAAATAAAAATACTACAATATTAGAAAATGTTACGATATTACAATAAATAATACGATAAAAATACTACGATAAATAATACTACGTAAATAAATAATACAATAAAAATACTAACATACTACGAAAATAAAAATACTACGATATTAGAAAAAAAAAACTAATCTACGATTTACGCTCGTAGATAATAAATATTCCATCGCAACGACTCTGGTTGTTAATCATAAATAAAAAAAAAAAAAAAAAGATCACGATACCAAGGATTAACCTCTTGCGCTGGCAACTGACTGCGGACCATAACGAGTGACCAAACCGTACACAATAATTCGTCGCTTTCCTTTTCTTTTGAACTCGTTCGTATGATATCACTGGATAGAAATTATTGAGAAGTAATAATAAATTTATTATTTGTTTTGCCTGGGTTACATTTAAATATACTTAAAACTGAGAAAATATTGCAATTTTGGGCCAATTATACTCGACGGGCGCGTCGAAGAGGTTAACCGCTTGCGCTGGCAACTGATTGCGGACCATAACGAGAAACCGTATACAATAATGCGTCGCTTTCTTTCCCTTTTGAACTCGTCGGTATGATATCATACTGGATAGAAATTATTATTAAAAAGTAATAAATTTATCATTTGTTTTGCCTGAATTACATTTAAATATAATACTTAAAACTAAGATAATATTGCAATTTTGGAACAAAAGATTCTCGACGTGCGTGGCACGTTATTCCAGCGCAAGAGGTTAACCACTGATTGCGGACCATAACGAGAAACCGTATACAATAACGCGTCGCTTTCTTTCCCTTTTGAACTCGTCGGTATGATATCATACTGGATAGAAATTATTGTTAAGAAGTAATGAATTTATCATTTGTTTTGCCTGAATTACATTTAAATATAATACTTAAAACTAAGACAATATTGCAATTTTGGAACAAAAGATTCTCGACGTGCGTGACACGTCATTCGAGCGCAAGAGGTTAAACATAGCGTCAAGGGAGAATAATTGGCGGTGATATTATCGGCGGAGAGAAAGGAGGAAAAGCGCGGGGGTAAAGCAGCTGGAATCGGTGGCGGTTCGAAGAACCCGTAAAAGTGATTTGTTCGGCTGTTAACGAGACGCGGATGGCACGGACGTTAATGGAAAATTATCGATAGTTGCGAGGCTCGATGCACCGTTACAACTGGCGAACGTCGTAAATAACAGTCGGTTACATGCCTGCGAATACCTTAGAGGCGTGCTAGTTTCTTGCTTCGTGCTCGAGCCAGGTGTAATTCGCTGGTATGTGTTAAGCGATTTCCAATCTTTTCGTCATTGTGTACATTTTAACATTCTCGAAAACCTGACCTCCTCAACAGACGAACGAACATTGCACAACCTAACCTAACCTAAAATCCATTGCACAGCTTAACCCATTCGAGACGGATTACATACCGCGTGTGTAATGATCTTGAACCTGAGTTATATTAATTATTAGCGAAGAAGTAAGATAAGATCGTTTTGAGAAAAAGCGAAGCTTAATGATGCGTAAAGATTGAAATTTGCTTGTGAAGGTGATTGTGCTTGGGAGAATGTTTCAGATGATTACCACAAACAAACAAAAATAAATGTCGTTGGAGGAAAATTTCCTAATTAATTTATTGTAACGTTTCCTTAAAATTTATTTACGAATTATCCTCTAACGTTTATTACTGAACCCATAATAATAATGATCTCATGTTTCTTCACTATTTTTGAAATAAATATTTCTTCCACCATAATTATATCTTTTCTTTTCATCGCGCATCACACACATGGCGTGTATAATCGGTTCCTCATAATAAAAATATTCTGAAGAGCCAATTACACACACGCACACACACACACATACACACATACACAGGGTGCTACCATGTTATTTGTTATACGAAAAATGTTTGCAACATTCAAAACATTTCTTCTTCTAAAAATGTTTGACGTAGAGAAAAGAAAATTCTTCAGCTCCTTCAATTTTTCAGATAATTCTTCGCCTCCAATGGATTAATGCACAGAGAAAACAAGGGGGGAGGGGAGGGAGAGAATGGAGAAATTGGAGCGTCGCAGACTCTCCCTGGCCGAAACACAGTCGCCGATGAAGAAATAAGACAGAAGCAGGAAAACAAGAGAAAGAGAGAGAAAGAGAGGGAGAGGGGGGGAGGAACAGTGGCAACGTCCCTGAATGAGAAAGCGGTTCGATGCACTTGCGCTCGGTTGCTCCACTCGGCCTTCTGCGCGGACGTGTTGCAACACGAGGGGAACCAGTGTACAGGATAATGCCAGGAGCGTGTATATACCAGAGCGGACAAGAACGGGGAAACGCGGCCAAGAAAGATCCGGAGCGATTCGAAGAGCCCTGATATAGATACCGGGCCGTTTGCCAGTTTCATTCGTCTCTCCGAGTTCGAGTTCCTTCCTGTTTGTCCATCTCTCTCTCTCTCTCTGTTTTTCTCCTCATTCCTCCATGGCACAAGGATACTCCAACAAGTATCGAGGGACATGTTATTGGAAAAAGTGACACGAGCGAAGAAGTTTCCGGAGATATTGCAGTTTCTGTTGCCGAGTCTTTTGATTTTAAATCGCGGCATCGGGGTTGGCGAAGAATAAACGACTTGAGAGACATGCAATTCATAGGCAGGAGAGCCTGCTGTTGTTATTGCAGAGCAACCGTAACGGTCGATAACTCTGTTTTCTTCTCTGAATCGGTATTGGGTTACTTTGTAATCATTTCTCTGCAATCAATTACCAAATGTATTGGTAGCGATTGTAATCTAATCATTGCTGGAATGAATGACTCGGATTAACTTTCGCAACTTGTAAACATTACTTTTGGTAGCTTTCAAATTATGAACCTAACTTAACATAAACCAAAGTTTAAAAATATGATATAATAAACGAAGAGCGTAACCTAACCTAAACACATATATATTTTGATATATTTGTTTGATTTATTGTAACGTATTATACTTTTTGAATCTCCAGTATAAATAAACCGATCATTTGATCATTGATATATTATACAGAAACAATCTATATATTCTATGTGTGTAACAAAATATTGTAATATTGATGTATTATACAAAATATATATACAACATTATATGTTAATATATCAATATTATACTATATCATCAAATATATCAAGTATATCAATATTATAACATAAATATAATATTATAATGATGTAACTGATATTTATTCACAACATATATTAGTTTAGTAAACTTTTTATAATAAAAAGCTTTATATAATGAAAGACTTTGTATAAAACACTTTATAAAACTATATAATAAAAGACTTTATAAAGAACTTTACATAATAAATTTTGTTACATATAATTTTGTAAACATTTTTACAAAGTATATCAATATTATAACATAAATATAATCAATCAAATATATCAATATTGTAACATAAATATAATAGTTTAGTTTAGTTATAAAGCTTCATATAGTAAAAGACTTTGTATAAAACACTTTATAAAACTATATAATAAAAGACTTTATAAAAAACTTTATATAATAAATTTTGTTATATATAATTTTCTAAACACTTTTGCAAAATTATATATAACAAAACGTATAAACAATAAATTTATATATAATGAAAAGTAGTTTCTACAAGCTATACACAGTGTCGTTGATAAAAGCAAACTACTAATACAATCGTAAATCGTTTTGTAATCGTTTTATTCAATTAATCGTGACCTTTGATCACTTCTTTCATTCGTTAATCGCCGATTGATATCCCGATTGCACGTTCAATCGCAATTGTGAGAGGCTCGTGTATAAAAAGGATGGACGTTCGATCGAAATAAGCCCGAGGCAAACGCACTTGGCCAATTGATCGAGAAAGTCTCGCACGAGAACGAGAACGAGAACGAGAACGAGAGGCGAGGCGCAATCGATTATCCACGATTTGTAAAACGTCTCGATCGATCGGGCCGGCGCACGAACGCTCGGAATCGCTGCGAGTCATTCCACTTGAGCGGGCAACGACGAGCAATCAGAATGGTTGATCGCGACGTCGCGCGGCTATCCGCGTTATTATCAATAAGTTTGTCTCGAGAAGCAATTCGAGACGGTGCTCCGGCGACGTTTATGTCACGGACCCTCGTCAATCATTATTTACCGGCGGCTAACGCTGCCCTGTTCTTTGCCTTCGATTCCTCTCAACTACGTCATGAAACAACAGCCATCCACACTCGTCTACTACGCGATTCGTAAAAAAAAAAANAAAAAAAAAAAAAAAAAAAAAAAAAAAAAAAAAAAAAAAATAAAAAAGAAAAAAAGAAATACAGGGTGTGTCCGTTTGAACGTGACACCCTGTATCTATTTTTAATCGTAGAGTGTACTCGTCACGTGGCGCGAGAAAAAAATTTGCACTTGCAGACCTAACCTAAAACTAACCTAAAGTAAAATTTAGGTAAAACGTTGTGTACGCAATTTGGACGCATTATAGAACATTCTGAACCCCAAAAAAGATTTTTCACGTAACCCAAACTTAACCCAAACCCAAATGATGAAACATTGACAGAGTAAAATGGAACAATGCATTTTGAAAATAGAGACTTGGAGCTTGAAAACGAGGTTTAAGTTCATCGTTCATAATTGAACATTTAGTCCGAATGAATCTTGTTAATCTTAATGCGTCGTAAAACTTTGGAGCATTTTGCAAAAGCAAGTCCATAATCGGGCATAATATTTAATTTAAAAAAGATTTAAATTAAGGTTTAAAAAAAGATTTAATAATACTGAATTTAAAATTAATAATATTTAATAATATTTAATTTAAAAAAGAAGGCGACGTTGGAAATTCTTTTCTTTTTTTCTTTTTTTTTTTTTTTAACAAAAAAATGGGCAAAAACTTACCCAGCAACGGGAGTCATCTTCATGGCGAGAGCTCTGCTGATGCAAAATCCGGCGCCGCCGGTCGCGAACCAGAACTTCACCTTTTGCTGCAACAGAAAACACAAGAATGTCAAAAAAAAAAAAAAAGTAAAAGAAAAATGCTAATCTTCGCGAGGATTCGAGACGAGATGATCGATGACTAACCAGATTGAAACCACGATTGATTACATTTCGACGTATCGATCTGTCCCTTCTTTCGGACAAATTGTGATGAAACTTGAACCGTTACGATCCGATCGACGTTTGATTGCAATTGACTGATCAGCAATCGGAGAATAAATTTTTTTTTGCGTAAACAGGCGATGAAGGTTTAAGGTTAGGATGCGGCGGGCGCGCCATCTGCAGAATATCCTGCGTACTGAATTTTCGCAACACTGTGGATCTTTCACGCTTTCTCAGAGTTGTAGATTGTTGCACACACGACTCACATTTAAGTAGTTTCAAATTTACAAATTCGAGGGATCAAAACCTTGATAGAGAGGGACTGATTAAAATTAAAAGGCCTGCAAGAATTTTGGTTCATCTTGGTGAACGAACGAAGCGGTTAAAAAATTGCAAATTTGTAAATGTTTTTTTTTTTTACTAAGAAGTTACGAAATGGCCATTTGGTCCATTTTGGCTGAGTCTCGGCGTTAAAGAAGCAAATTCAAAAACTGCGACACGTGTGTGACAGATAAAACGAATTTCTCATTCTTTCTACTTATTTAACGTTAAGAACAAAAGTAAAAGAGATACAAATCACTTTCTTTCGACAGAAGGGGGCATCTTCCTCGAGAAAAGTTCGAAGTTGTTTACTGAGAAAGAAAAAAAAAAAGGAAAAAACGGGCTGCAAAGGAAGGAGGAGAAAGGTGTTTCCGATCGAGTTGCTGCCGGTGACCTGGAAAGTCAAGTCGCAAGAAAAGCATCGGCTCGTGCATGCTGTGACCAAGTCTCGAGAGTATTATCAGCTTCCTCCAATCTCTATCCTTGCCCTCGTCGATTAGATTAGACTTCAAAGGAATCGTGTAAATAGGACTAACAGACTCTGAACTTTATACTCGTAAACCTAACTCGCCCAACTCCGTTTTCACGAACAGCACACCATTCAATTGAATTGTTTTGAAACACGATTGGTTTAAACAGAAGATCATGCCAAATCTACTTTGAGAAATATTACTTTGCTATCAATAAGTTTTATTTATATTTATTTATTAATATTTTATTAATATTTATTTATAAAGTTTGTTATATTTTATTAATATTTATTTATAAAGTTTATTATATTTTATTAATATTTATTTATAAAGTTATTCATTGATATCACTATCAATCATTGTTGGATGTAATTGTTAATGTAGGTTAATAAGTTTTATTTATATTTATTTATTAATATTTATTTATAAAGTTTATTATATTTTATTAACATTTATTTATAAAGTTATTCATTGGTATCACTATCAATCATTGTTGGAGTTAATTGTTAATGTAGGTTAAAAATCAACCTCGACAACTGCACTTATGACAATCTATGGCTATTAAAAATTCCAGAATTAAAAAACAATTGTAATATGGACTGTTCGTGGATCAAAGGTTAAACGACTCTAACCTCTGATACAAATAGGTTAAAAGAAAAAAAAAAAAAAAAGAAAAGAAAAAAGGAATGAAAAGAAAACAAAGAGAGGAACAATCGGTATTAGATCGGATAGGGGGCGTTCGGTGGCAAGTTGACCCCTGGATTCCACTCGCCACTCGTGACTGCTCTTCCCCTCGTCTCTTATTCAAATGGCATCCCGAATGGAGGAAAGAAAGACGCGGATTGCGAACGAAAGGATGCTATCGGACCTGTCCAATCGCTGCTGGTGTGTATCTGGCGTGTTTGTGAGGTCCCATCGCCTCGTCATACATACACACACCCTCGGATATCTTGGGAGGGAGGCAAGTACTATATTTGTTACAACAAAAATAGTACAAGACGCAATAAATATCAATTGTAAATTGATAATGCAACGAATACAATATTTACAATGCAAATGTTAATGTAGAGTATAAATCATATGAACAGTATGCAATATAGAATGCAAATTATTGTACTTGATATGAATATATACAATATAATCAAATGCAATAAATATAAAACATACTTTATTATTATACTGTACTGTATATTGTACTATTGCATTATTATATTATTATTATATTACTAGTGTATTGTATATATTATATTATAGTATTGTATTATTGTACTATTACATTATTATATTATTATTATATTATTAGTGTCTTGTATATATTGTATTATATATATTACTGTATTATTGCACTATTACATTATTATATTATTATTATATTATTAGTGTCTTGTATATATTGTATTATATATATTACTGTATTATTGCACTATTACATTATTATATTATTATTATATTATTAGTGTCTTGTATATATTGTATTATATATATTACTGTATTATTGCACTATTACATTATTATATTATTATTATATTATTAGTGTATTGTATATATTGTATTATATTATTGTATTATTCTACTATTACATTATTATATTATTATTATATTATTAGTGTATTGTATATATTGTATTATATTATTGTATTATTGTACTATTACATTATTATATTATTAATATATTATTAGTGTCTCGTATATATTGTATTATATATATTACTGTATTATTGCACTATTACATTATTATTATATTATTATTATATTATTAATGTATTGTATATATTGTATTATTGTACTATTACATTATTATATTATTATTGTATGTATTTGTAATATTACTATTACGCTGTTGCACATATTATATTTTTTATATACACCACATAAAAAAATTATGAATATAACATACATGTGTACATATTTAAATACACTCGAGTCTACTTTAACAATATATATATATATATATATCAGTGGAAGCCTGTATTCTTTATTGCATTATTAAATCGTCTTTCTCTTTTCTAAACCTAACCTAAACCTAATCTAAACCTAACCTAAATCTTGCACTTTAAACAAACATTATACTTTTTTCGTAGTTAAATGATCTGCGAGTCGTTCCATTTCTACATAATACAATTTCAAATGACTGACAGATGATTTGTCGAACATCATCCAGATCCCAAGTTCCAAGTTTACAGGGCCAAAAATCAGATTTGAAGAATTTAAGGAAAATTTATTCCCTTAAATTCGCGGTTCTTCGTCGTAGCTCGTGGCTAACAGTAATTTCCATCGGCGAATATTCATAGCTCGAGCCATGGAGTAACCGGCGGGCACGAAACGGTGTACCAGAGCATTGTCGGGGGGTTTTTTCTTTTCCTTTTTTCTCTCTTTTCTTTTTTTTTTTTTTTCCTTTTTTTCGAGCAGCGGGAGACCGGTTTCATTGGTAGGTACGCACGTGCAGCATGCCTCGGTTGTTCGTCATGTACCACGCCTAGGAGCACGAGGAAAGGGGCACGAGTTCTAGACCGGCGGCGAGATACTATCGCTGGCCATGGATAGAGAGAAAGAGAGAGAGAGAGAGAGAGAGAGAGAGAGAGAAAGACAGAGAGAGTCCGGCTCTAATGGCATACGGCCACGATCGCCAACAGATCGCCCCGCCGCGCTCCAGCATGCTCTTTGGGGGTTTACATGCCTTTCGTAAACTCAGAAAAATCGATCAATCTCCCAAAAAATCCGTATTCCAAGTCTTCTGGAACAACTCTGCAAAGATAATGAACTTGGTGATTCGAAAATCTTCCAAGTAGCCGTGTACTATTACCGAGCACCCGTTTGTCGGTCGATTATAATTATTGCCGAGGCAGCCGACTCTGGAAGTGCACGCTGGATCTCGAGAAATAGCGGAGTGGGGGAAAGGAGCTCGACCTGAAGTTAGCTGCCGATCGCCGGGCAAGATTGCGCCAGGCCCGCTCCCCTGACTAATTACATTCCGAAGGCTTGCCTCGGAAGGGGGTTGATGCGTGCAGCCCGCTCCCCCGTGGAAACCCCGATTACACCATCCGCACGATCCCATATCCAATTACCTAGCGACGATTGCCAGCGATCCGCAGATAAATTCGGTGGGTTGATTGGCTCGTTTCTCCAACCTCACTCACTCTCTCTCTCTCTCTCTCTCTCAGGTATTTTCTTCCTCTTATCGGCCCCCCCTGTCCCGGCCAGACAGAGTTTTCGGAATACTCTCGCGGCATCGATTAGTGTAACCCGATGCACACACACGACGGACGAAATCGCAAAATCGGCACCGGGTGTACGTGTCTCGAATCGGAGAAAACGAGAAATTCGATACCGATCGAGCGGAAGGGAGCATGGCGATGGTTTGTACGAACGATTTCAATCGTCGAGTCTGAGTTATTTAAATGATAAGATAAATGCAGAATCTGTGTGATATATTTATATATCCTGTTTATATAACACTTGCTGTGTTAATATATTGTGCATCGTTGTACGATGTAAAATATATAATATATATAATATATATAAAATATTACATAATGCCAAGCATAAATTGCAGACGATTTCGATCGTTGAAATCTTTTATTCAACTGACCAAGTGGCAAATTGGAATTGCGAATTTTATTTACTATTTCATGAGTTATTTGACGTCGTCACGTTACGAGACTCACCCTGTATATATATATATATATATATATAAAATATTTATTGTATGAAAAAATGTTTCGATGGAAGTTATATATATATATATTATATATTATATGGAATATAATTATATATATATATTATATATTTTATATTATATATTAGTTATATATATATTATATTTTATATATTTTATATATTGTACATTATATGGAAGTTATATATATATTATATATTTTATATATTGTACATTATATGGAAGTTTTATATATATATTATATATTTTATATATTGTACATTATATGGAAGTTATATATATATATTATATATTTTATATATTGTACATTATATGGAAGTTTTATATATATATATATTATATATTTTATATATTGTACATTATATGGAAGTGATATATATATTATATATTTTATATATTGTACATTATATGGAAGTTATATATATATATATATATTTTATATATTGTACATTATATGGAAGTTATATATATATTATATATTTTATATATATTATATGGAAGTTATATATATCATATATATATATATATTTATATGACTTTTTTTCATTATTTTTAGGCGTACAAACAGATCCCGAACTGGATCCCACAAGTTACGAAACACTCTGTGTATATATATATATATATATATATATATATATATATGTATGTATGTATATATTTTTCTATCG